CGTTTCTGAAATCAGCCTCTCAGCTATTGAAGGGTGTGATTTGATGTGTAGGGCGACGCCTCGCTGTTCTTCTCGATCAATCCCTTTACATAGTATGAGTGATGTCCAGCACTTCCTCAGCACCACTACGTAACTAACGTTCCGTATTCATCGTTTAAACTCTATCTCTATATATATTCTCTAGTCCAGCGTTTCCCAAACTTTTTGAGCCGCGGACCCCCTGTTTTAGAATCTACTTTTTGACGGACCCCCATTCTATGCCGTATCAATGCCTGTGCCTAACCAACGTGGAATGGTAATGTTTCATTTACATCACAATAACACGAAAGATATTAATGTGTTAGATGAGATTGCTTTCGACTGGACAATTTATCAATTGCCGTAGCAATTTGTGATAAGAAAACTCGCAAGTCCGACTCAACGGCAAGTGTCGACCTGTATTTTGTCATCGAATTGGTAAAAGATGAAAGCGCTGCCTCAAACATGCAAGTTTTCCTAATTGCCCTTTCTGACAGCAATTTCGTCTGTTACGTTCCAACTAAAATATATCCATTGTCGGAGGATAAGGCAGAACTTGCCTGTCCGTGAGTATTACAAATAATTTGTTCCTTGCTTTGTCCATGAACAAGTTTTAAGCAATTTTGTTGACGATAACTTTGTACACGTTTTGTACACAATTTTGTACACGTCAGTGTAGCTGAGTGGAGTGAAAGTACACTTCCAAAAAAATTTGCTCAAATACTGGGAGGAAATGGATATCGTATAAGACGTGGATTTCAAAGTTCGCCGTAAACAACCAAATGCAAGCGCAATCTATATACTGTCTCTATAAATCTATACTCTGTAAAACCGGAGAATTGAAAACGTATTTTCCGCTAGTGTAGGCTACAGAGCTACTAAAGGACCTTACGTTTGTTTATACTGTTATTTTGGTTGTCACTTTTTTTATGAAATTCATATTTGATACCTAAAAGTGTTAGAAGTAGAGTAAAAGCAGTGTAATTTTAGTATTCCGTCACTGTTATATTAGGTATATGAATCATCTCTGCTTTCATTCTTTCTTTTACAAAATGAATTACCCTGCAGTTGGAGAAAACGTGCGCAATCTTGTCTGGGCGAATCAGTGCTTGTTGATGAGTTCAGTTTTTTTGATTAGTCAACAAATAAAATTACCAAGTCCGCTACTTCTCCAGAGCTGTTCAAATGCAATTGATAACAATTTTGCACTGTTTTTCGACGCCGATTAACTGGCTATTAGCTCTTTACAATCAAAGTTTCGGCTAAATAAAAAAAGAAATATAATTTTCGACGAATCACCTTGTAGGTTCTACTACAAAGGCTCTATCTAAATATCGTTTGAACATGAGCTTGGTCCCTTTACAGTCAATAAAATTTAGATAACAGCACAGCATTTACCCCAAGACACAGCAGATAATCTAATAACAAATAAACTTTTGTACAGAAAGCCTGTCAACATTAGGATATAAAATATGTAGTTGATCAATGGCAAATACGCCAGAGGGCATAACAGCTGAAGTAGCACTAATCGGCAACAATTATATCATACATTTAAGCTTCATTTTGTATGTTAAATCTCATTTGAAATAAGGTATGTATTTATCGCCAGTAAAATACATTGTGCTACATTAGTTACGACAAACTGTTCACTCTGTTAAAATAGTATTTGCTCATCTTACTACAGCAAAAGAGTGAAGACAGAATCAGAATCTCAAAGCACAAGCTTCGAAGTTAGCTAAACTCTTCGATTGAAGTTAACAAAACTTGGTCTAAAAATCTGGAAGTATACATATTATGTTTTCATATGTATATATATAGTATATTATTAAACTTTTCACGTCGCGGAAAATACGGCAAAAAGTGATTTAAGTATCGTGATTTCTTAAACAGACGGTACTAGGCACGACTTATTTCCGATCGCTTAGATTGAACGATTAGATGCCAAAATGCTATTGTTATCATTGCCATGAATGGAACGTTCCCTCGTATGATATATACAGATGATTCCAAGACGGAAGTTACAGTTATTATTAATCGGGCGGTCTGAATCATTTGGTGTTATTTCGGAAACGCTACAGATACAAATGTATTCTTTTATTAAATCAGAATTATGTGCCGTAAGCAACATTTTCTAGATGAAATTGAGATATCGCCTGAAGTCCTAATCTATTTTAGGCTCATTGTAAGTTTAGCTAGAAGTAATTGATTACGATGACGTCAAGGTGACACATAATTGTGGATAATAGTGATTATGAAAAAATCGTATATTACTAAAATTTCATTCTATTGACGTTAAGTTTGAACTTAGATAATTATTCACTTACAATAATATAAATTAAGCAATAATTTTAGGTGAGGCCAGAGAAGTGGTAGTGAAAGTTGTTTTAGTTCCGGAAAAACTTTTAAGATATTGCTTTAAAAATACCAGCATAAAAGAACATGATGGGTTGATAAAAGTAAAGATTTTGAGTGAAACTCTGGGAGACAAGCACTTGAATCGGTATACCCTCTGCCAGGATAAGAGCGCATTTTTGATTTCTAAAATAAGTAAAAGCTTTCAGAAAATCTTCCGATAGACCAAAATCTTCATTCAGATTTAGTAAGCTATCAACCAAAGTATATTATCTGCACGGATCACAGCTCAAGGTGTGATGACGTTCGATTATGCATCATCGGAGTACCGAAATACACTCGTGGACTCATAGTATAAATTAATACAAAATAAAGATCTAATGCTATTCATAACACACAATTAAGAAAGTAGATAATTTTTAAATGGAATTTTTGTATTAAAAATCATTTATATCTCATTACTAAGTTGAAATCAAACGTAATGAGAACCAGCTCAGCGATAACTTCAGCCTTTGGGCTTGGGGCGGCCATGGGACTTGGCATTACAGTAATTTATCTACAACTTGTTGTTGATAAAGATAATGGCAATGGACATGGAAGTTCTGTTGAAATTGATAAAGTTAGAAAAATTATCATGGAGCAAATGAATACGACTAAACTTGAAGAAAATTTGAGGTAAGTCTACATCCGGTATAAAATAAATAGCTGTATAATAAACGGTAAAAAATTTTGATACATGACCGACTGTTTTATCAATTTTATCAGAAAAAAAACCGTAGTCATATTAAATTAAGTTTGATTGTCATCTCTTATCAATATTCATTTTTTCATATATTCTGTACTAATGTTGATATTGTTCAGTATTTCGATTTCATTATTTATTTATTCAGTATCTTTCTATGGTATAAATATATATGGAAAAATACGCATTCTTTGCTCGGCCATCGGTGAAAGCTCGTAGTTGAGATGACAATTTAGCCCTACCTAAATTGTATTATTGTTTTGATTGCATGGCAAATTTCTTAATATCTTTTTTAAAACACGATATATTTAGTTTTATCTTAGCAACGCCCTCCGGCATGGAGATCAAATCTATATTTAACATGGAGTGCAGTGTTTTCCTATTTAATGAAATCATTTATTTGCTTCAAAGTTTATCAGTAATATTAGTTTCACGTAAACCTTATTTCAAATCTTCAAAAAACTAAGACAATCAAATAAGAATTTAATTTTAAAATGCACGTATAAAATATAGTAAATGCGCAAGATGTAAATTTTAATATTTCATAAAATTATTTTCTCCTAGTTGTGTTTACCTAAACCCCTTTGAGTTCTATTTTAAAGAGTTTTCATCAAGATCCATTGCAGCATATTTTGGTATTTCTGTGGTTATTAGTTTCTATTTGGTCTGTCTTGATCTCGTTTTGTAAACTTGCAATTTTTTTTGTATAGGCGCCTTGCTAGTAAACCTCATATTGCAGGAAGAGAAGTGGATGAAGTAGAATTGGTGGGTTTCATATCAGACAGTTGGAACAGTTCAGGACTCGATGTAAAAATTCACAAATATGATGTTTTACTTTCTTATCCAAGCGATACTGATCCTAATTACGTTGCCATCAGAACAAGTGACGGTGAGTGCCAAGGAAATATTTGGAAATTAATATTTGAGATTAGAATACCATTTCTATAACTTTTATATTATGCAAGGGTCCTGTTGCAAATAAACACAACTATATTTCTGTAACCTTTCGTTTGACATAGAGTCATCTTTATTCTATGTTATCATTATTTTCTACTGCATCCTCTCAATATTCGCATAGGGATCCACTAGCGCAAACACACAAAAAAGTGAGGAAAGATAGCTAATTGATCTCACTTAATAACAACGAAAAATTTTGCCATAAAATGATATTAACTACCGTGGCACCTATAATATTTAATTAATTTAAATCAAAAACTAATCCCAAACCAAAGATAATTAACTACAAAATACACCAATATTACACGAACTTTGTACTTTTTTAGGAAGAGAAACCGTGAAAAGTGCGTTGGAGGACAAAATACTTGACCAATCTCAAAACGTCAGTGGAGTTGTGAATGCTTATTCGGCATATGCACCTGCTGGAGACCCTGAGGTATATTTTTATTTATGACGATAGTGTTCTACTTGTTTTTGTAAAACTTTGTATCATTTTGAAAATATTCCTAATTGCTTTTCAGAATATTTTTTATTGTGCATTTCGTTTCAATTTTTGCGTCAGTGGGTGAGGTGATATACAAATGTATTATTAAATCGAATAAGTATCACATGACTTCATATTAGGTTTTTTTTTTAATTTAGACTCTCCGAACATTTACTAATTATCTGCCTTACTTCGATTACAATGGTGTTGGTTTGCTTTTGTCGTTATCAGTCAGCATCTGTGGCCTCTGCTATAAAGGGTTTTAGGTTTATTTTTGCATTAATTTTCAAAATATTTTTATTTCATTTTAGGGAGATCTGGTGTACGTCAATTTTGGATCTATTGAAGATTTTACGGAGTTGAACGAAACATTTGGTATCGACGTCAAGGGAAAAATTTGTATTGCAAGAATCGGGGGAACAGGAAAAGCCAAAAAAGGTGTATATATACATAATGTTTTACATTTTCGTTAAGAATACATAACAATTGAATAACAGAATACAATTGAGTGATCCTTTATATCAATTTTTTTCGGTATTTACACTAATCTTAGAATTTGTTAGTAACCCTAATAATGAACAAATTTTGGGCTATATAAATAGCTGCTCAATTTTATTTCTGAGAAGAGATACTTGCACTACATTTTTATTCAAGTTCGTGAAACAAATTGATTTCGTATCATTTTTTGGATTGGCAACATCAGAGCAATGATCTTACTTCACAATAACATTCACCGGTAGATTCATTGTTGTTGGTGATTATACACGTTTTTTTAACCTAATTGACATATAATTCTATTAAATCCTCCAAAAGTGCATCTTTGGATAATTCTTCTTTAAAGGTGGGTTATCACGCAAACATTTTTGTAGAAAATTTGATTCTATATAATTTATTAGGATTTTTGGCGTTTACCGTTTGCATAAAATGGACATCGTTTGCGAGACTCGAATTTTTAAAAGTCGGCTCTGCCGAAATCAAACGCAGATTAGTATGTCCCGTTGATGACGTAGTGGTGAAAACTCGTCGGCAAAAATTTGCATTAGGTCAAAGGTAATTATAGCATTCTGTGTACTTATTTTGAACCGTGTGCTAGTTCTATTGGGCGGTGCATTTGGAGGAAGCTTTTGTTATTTAAAACAATACCAATATCTTAAATAATATTATTGCATTATGAGAAATTACAGTAAACTCAACTAATCGAGGTCAAGACGTACTCGAGTTCTGTGCCGTACATTTTCCTGCAATATATATATTTTCTAGTGAAAAAGCGCATATCAGGCCATTTTTTGTCTCAAATGATTTAAATTTTATAATTGATGTGTGTTTACTCTGCTTATCTGATTCTATAACTAGTCTTTTTGTTATATTTTCGGTATATATAGGCTATCTGGCTATACCGGTATATACGCAAACACTACCGTAACGTATGGAATGTGGAGTTGGTGGTTACAGCAGATTTCACAATGATGGATCTGTCTCGAAACAAGGAGAAAACTATGGATAAAATTTTCGCAAGTAACCTTTTTTGATGTCTCTCCATGGAACTAAAAGAACACCTCCAAGTCGAAGAATCGTTTCAGCCTTAAAATTATGTTGGAACCTATGCAAACTCCTACCCACAGCTCGAAACAACAATACCTCACGCAGTTATTCAAATCAGTTTTTATTTATTTTTAACATTTTATTACAAGTTTGCATCATATGTAATTCATTCATGCCAATAAATGTGTTGTCACGAATCTCCATTAGTTGATCGATAACAGCTGGACTGTGTTGTTAATAGCGGTGTGCACTGGAAAACAAAGTATACAAATTAAATTGATAGAACTGACATAAAAAAAAAAGATCAGGCTAACATCACCAGACAGTTTAGTAAGGTTCAACATACAACAGTGTTTTGTTACATAATAATGTGAAATGAATTTAAAAAAACTGAACCATTATTGGGATTCTACGTTTATCTGGTAGACTATCACTCTTTTGGTAAATGTACAAATTGACAATTTGCATTTGGTTCATACAAAAGTGTGACTGGGTATTATCATGCTTTCGCTAAATATTTAATCAAACAGTCGATAAACGAAATAAAGTGGTAAATACTTACTCTAGGATCAGTTCTGCAAAGCCTTCTGACGAGGTTGAACACCTTACTCGCCAATGCCGAGGGAGCCAATTTCTGGAATGAGTTCTCACTACTACGTCATCAAAGGCCGTTTCCGAACCTGGTTCGATTTTCGTTGAAGCGGTTTTTAAAAATTCATAAGTAGAAAACGAAGTCCACTTTATGCAAGCGGTAAACGTTAAAAAGCTTAAAAAATATATAGAAACAAATTTTTCACAAAAATGTTCGCGTGATAAGAGAAATAAGAAAAAGTAAATTTATGTTTAGGGTAAATCAAAATATAATGACTAATTAAATCTAAATGCAATTAATTTGTTCAGCTAAACATGCCGCAGAATTTGGTTGCTTGGGACTTATTATGTACACTGATCCGAAAGAATTTACTGTAGCTGGAAAAGGAGTTTATCCTGACGATTGGTTTCTACCTGGATCAGCCGCCCAACGTGGCAGTCTTCGCCTTCAAAGTGGAGATCCTTTGACACCGAAGTATCCATCGATCGGTAAAAATGGTCTTATTGCTATATTAAATTGTTCAAATTATACAACGCCATACATTCTAGTATACATTAGATTCATTCATATTACTTATACTTTTGTTTGAAATCTTTTTTATTTCATCCACTTTTAACTTTTACTAAACAAAGTCACAACGGCTGAGTGCCTACGCTTGACTTTTCAGACATCTATTGCCATAGGTTGAATATTATTATTTCTTTCATTCAGACACTGCATGGAGAGAAGACGTGTCAAACACGGATTTACCAACTATTCCTGTTACCCCAATAGGATATGACGATGCCCAGAAATATTTGTCAAGAATGGCTGGACCCGAAGTTCCCACTAAATGGAAAGGAGGACTGAACATTACATACAGACTGGGCCCTGGATTTTCTGGAAAATATGATACAAGGTTTGAAGGAATTCGAAAATGAGTTTTTACGCACATTTGTAGGAAAACTGATACAGAGAATATTATTTCAAATTAATCATGAATGCGTTTCAATATACCAAGGTGATAATTATCAAAACATTTTCCTTGACTGATAGGTTTGTCAGCTGTTTCATTCAATCTATTGCAAAAAGTACGTTTTCGAACAGGAATTTTTTTTTTAAATCTATTAATATTGTACACAAACGAACAACATAGACTAATAAAAATCATGGTTTTGTCATATTTAATCAAGTTTTTGTCCTATGAAACACTCATACATTATTTTCAGTAAAATGCGAATGCATGTAGCAAATAGAAATGAGATGAAAACTGTACACAACGTAATTGGTTACATCAGAGGCGCAGTTGAACCAGGTAATCGTTAGGTAGAATTGTAAGATTTCTAGCATAAAATACCTAATTGGAACATTCCATAATTTTTTGTATTTCGGGTAACATGTCGAGACTTTTATAGCCAGACATATGCCCATCTTTATTTCTAAAGTTGTAGTCACCAAATATTTTTGATTGAAGTAAAAAATACACTTCTATTTCATTGTTTGTTATTTCTGATATTTTTAAAATGTTCAGATCGTTATGTGATTTTGGGTAACCATCGAGACGCATGGGCATTTGGAACTCTAGATCCGTCTAGCGGAACCGCAGTTATGATAGAATTGGCTAGGCTACTTGGGGAAGCCGTAAAAACGGGTTGGAGGCCAAGAAGAACCATTATCTTTTGTAGCTGGGGCGCCGAAGAATTTGCACTTGTGGGATCACAAGAATGGGTTGAGGTTTGTATTTTAGTGATGTAATTTATTGAAGATATATTTTTTTTCATTGAATAATATTAGTAAGAATTGTAATATCTCTATCGTCGTGTCATCTCATAAACTCAGCTCAGCTGAAACAGTTTATTGTGAAAACGACCATGTTACCGTCGTCATGGTATAGCATATATATATATATATATACTTTATAATTCATCGGGTAGAAACAGGCTTCAGTCTATGATACAGAATCTTTGACTGAACTGATTTCTCACTATCGAGACGAACTGGAAAACTTTGCCAATAACACTGCTATTCCCACTACTGCTTTACCTCAGCTGAATATGCTTCTTATCATTCGGTTTTTGTCCTAAATGGTTAAAACGATCAGCTAATCAGTTATCGGAATGAATACTTGCCTATGGAGCATATACTAAAGAAGTTTCGCGCAAATGCGCGATAGGCCTTTCCGAGTTTTTCGCTCCCAGTTTTATTCCTTTCCCCTCTGTGGAGACGAAATCATACACTTTGAGAATCACTGCTTTAATTAAATCGCTATAAATATATTTATAAACAAATTTCAACAAGGGTATATCCTGATATATATATATACTTTCAGGAATATCAAAAGATACTTAGCGACAGAACGGTAGCGTATTTAAATGTCGATTCATCAGTGGTCGGAATTTATTCTATGTATGCGGCCTCTAGTCCCAACCTTCGCCAAGCTGTGTTTGATGCTGCAAAAAAATTCCAAATCCAAACAAAGCCGAAGCCGCAGCTGGATTAAAAACATTGTACGATGCGTGGAGAATCAAATTACCGGCCAATTTATTTGATCCTAATACATTGCCAACGTAAGATATTTCGTTTGATTGATATTTTTCAAATTATCGGTATAGATTTTTAATCGTATGCTGAAACATTGCACATAATAAATTTTAAGTACTTTTATGCTTGAGATCCGTTTATCATGATTTAATCATTATGAGATGATAACATAATTACATACGAGTTGTACGAGTTGTTGGTTCTATCGGGTTTATAGTGTTTTTCGTGCCAGATCTAGAATTATTGTTGTAATAAAGCGGGGCAACTTCACGACGTGGAATTTTCATAAGTATTCTGAAACTTTATGTCTGAAACTATTTCGTTCAGTTAGTTTCCTAACTCCATTGGTGGCTATGGTCGGATCCACATTAAATACGATGGCATTTTGTATTCCGGTGCTTATTTTTTAGAGTTCTATTACCTGGAGTTGGTAGCGATTATGCTTCTTTTCTACACTTGACCGGAATCTCGGTTGTGGATATGGCTTATGTTTGGGATGTGGTAAGTCTATTTTCATAAGACATTCTTTTGAAGTTGGGCCACGTTCGACCTTTTTAAAAGTTAGAAGTATAAAAAATATAGTAATTTTGCACGTTAAGCATTTACATGTAGACAAAAATGAAACGTACCAGAATTTGTTTATATACCCAACGTTTTATAATAATAATATTTGTTTAACGTGCGGTTTATCTAGTTTGGTATCATATTTTCCATTATTTCTTCTTATCTTTAACAAAGTAGTTACGAACAAGCTGTAACGGACGTCTAAGTTTTGCATATCAACAAAACTCTTCATCCGAATTTTACTATGTCGTGCTGTGTATGAAAATTTATGCTAGTATTCCAGACAATCCGCTTCCGAAATTTTCCTCAACATGTTCATACCACTGAAGGTCTTAGAACTCACTTTGAAACTATGAAATCACTATTGCCGACAGCAAATAGAGCACGCGTATATCTATACGAATTTGCATAAATGAGCATTTACACGACTACACGTATAATGAATACCTATTTGCTGAATAGGATATGTTTTTATTTTAAGAGACTCGGTTTGGAATTTTACCCGGTTTATCACACTGTGTACGAAACATTGGACTTGATGACTACTTTTCTCGACCCAGATTTTGTATATCACCAAGCAATTGGTCGGTTATGGGGTGAATTGACGCTAAGTTTGGCGGAATCTGCTTTGGTTCCAATGAACTGTGTAGATTACGCCGAACAAGTCAAATCCAGCGCCGCAGCGTTTTTGAATTATAAATCATTCCAGAAAGATATGGAAGCAAATGGAATAAATACAAGTAATATAGTTATTGTATCATGTCTTATAGATTTAGATATTAAAGTGTTCATGGAACCTTTTTACAATAGATTTTAACCATACAAGTTCCTATTTATGATTTTGGTGTGCTCCATTCGGTCAATCTACGTGTTGCATTATAGAAATAAAATTTCAAGAGACGCATCTTTACTTCTAGCTATTTTATCAACTTTATTTGTGTATATTATTATACGGATTGCCACAATAAAATTTGATATTTTGAGGACAGAAACAAAATAAGCATGATAGAATCACAACTTTTTTTTTTCTATGTAAGTTTTCCGATACTCCCAATTGAAATAGCAGGGAGATGTATTGAAACAAATCTGGCATATTATTATATATATATATATAAACAATTGACTTTAGGTTAAGTATCAATAGGTCCAAGACTTTTGCCAGAAGTTTTTCTCAAAAGTATGGGGAGTTATTCAGTATTGTCGAATTGCGCATTCCCAATAGTTCATGAATAACCGTACATAAATTTATGAACAACCGTAAATATTTCGCAGCAGAATGTAATTTTAATGGCATACACTCATTTACTTGCTCATTTAGCATTATTGAAGTCGGCCGTGGAAGAGTTGACAAACGAAGCAAAACATTTCCATGAAAGACTGAAGAAAGTGGATCTCAAAAAGTATGTGAATTTAGTAATATTGGTCAGAATTTATATCGCAAACTTAAAGTAATAATTCTGATATTTTATTATTCAGTCCACTAGCTGTTAGGGCTGCCAACGATCAGCTCGTATTACTTGA